CATCGCGATAGTTGATTGTAATATGAATAGATCTCGCGTTATTTTGTGAAATATAATGAAAATGTTGTTGCCCAGCAATGTTTACTCGGTACGATAAGAACTGATAACCTAAACAAACGTGGCACGCATTACTTCAAAAGAAAACGCCGCGTTGCGAGTCTGTTGTATTACTAGTCTGAGGTTTAACTCAGTGTCCTTTATTCATGCCGAAAAAAACAAAGGATTTCAATTTTTAGCTGATAGAGGGCAGTCAAAACAAAATACAAGTTCATTATTTCTTCATTCACATCTAAGATCCAGATGCCTATCTGTGATTTCTTAACCATATTGTTATGCCAGTATTACAGATAAATACAAAACAAATAATTGATACAATTACTGTTTCATTTCAGCCTTATGATAAATGCTTTCTTGGTTCAGCTCCTACTGCTGACATGGAGAGAGTTTTCTGTGGTCAGATGGCTGCTGTCTACCTATTTAATGATGCTTTAGCAAGTCATCAAATCGAAGCTATGTGTATGCTAGGTCCCAATTATAAGGTATGAACTTTCACTCCAGTCATTCTCTCTGTCCTATACAGAAAATTAGGGTGTTCCAAGGGTAAAGAAGGTCTTTTCTGTCAGTCTACACAGAGGCATCTAAGAAAGCTGATTGGTTGAGACATATTTGTCAGGTTATGTATGGTTTAGACAGGTTTTGCAGTGGACCTTGAAACCCTCACAGTAAGATTGTCTCCTATTTTGTGTTGGCTGCCTTGAAACGGGTAGAGATCAAGAGATACATGTACATACAAAACCATTGCATTGTCTCTGTCTGTCTGACATCTTCTCAGTGGTTAACATTATGTTATCTTCTCTTCACAGAGTTTGTTTAAGTTTGATTCTGAAAGTGATCTTTTACTGTCTGACCAATGTAAGCGAATCCTATATGATGGCAAACTATCCAATTCTATAGTATTTACATATAATCCTATAGCAACTGATTCACAGTTATGTCTAGAATCATCACCAAAGGGAAACCCATCAATATTTGTACACTCCCCGCATGCTCTCATGCTCAAGGTAAGTTCTTTCAGATTTGTCATCAAGTTTAGCAACATGAATGATTTTAGGTCTCAATTTGAAAGCTGTTCCAGTACTTGGACTTACGTGATGATATGTCTGCGTTAAATGTGCTTCCTCTGACAAACTGACCTAATGTGTTCAAAGTTGTTACGAAAACCAAATATATATATATAATATATATATATATATATGCACATTTATTTGTTTAATAAATATTAAATTTAATAAAATTTGTCTGATATTCATTTATATCCCCCAAAAAATGGTCTGTTCAAAGACTGCTGACTAGAGTATTTTAACACAAAAACCAGATATTTTGACATATCCAAAACCAGATATTTTGACATATCCAAAACCAGATATTTTGACATATCCAAAACCAGATATTTTGACATATCCAAAACCAGGTATTTTGACATATCCAAAACCAGATATTTTGACATATCCAAAACCAGATATTTTGACATATCCAAAACCAGGTATTTTGACATATCCAAAACCAGATATTTTGACATATCCAAAACCAGGTATTTTGACATATCCAAAACCAGATATTTTGACATATCCAAAACCAGATATTTTGACATATCCAAAACCAGATATTTTGACATATCCAAAACCAGATATTTTGACATATCCAAAACCAGATATTTTGACATATCCTTTACATCACTTGGATTTTCTGACCGACTCAATCCATATATCAAGTCACTCAAGTACTGCAATATCATATGTTTTTCGTGCAGTTCTGAAACTATAAAATAGTAATGTAAAAATTATCCTCAAATGTGCAATGTAGTTTTGAGATTGAACACAAATAATTGAATTTGCTTTGGTCATTTTATGAGTCACAGTGATTATGAATAGAAACCTTTATACTAATAATTTGTTCTATTCTGTTGACATTTGTTTTCTTGTTATAAACGTGATATTATTCATTGTCACATAGATAACATGTGTATCTCAATATAGTGAAAATACCGTGAGATACAGGTTTTCACTCTGTTGTTATATTCTGCAGCACACACTAAAACAACTTATAATACTCACTTTATAACAAACAACTGAATTCTATATGCTTATGTTGAAATACAAAACAGAGATTGTGCTTTGACAAAATTCATAAAATGTACAATGTTTAATCATGCAACTCATAATTGTGTAAAATGTGATTTTTTTTTAATTTTAAAGCTTTGTGATTTTGTATTTCTACAAAAAACAAAGTAATATATACGAGTATTGCAAATATTATTAACTAATGTGAATGTGTCTGTATTTGTTGTTATAGGATGTGAAAGCTATCGTAACTCATTCCATCCATAGTACGCTGCACTCCATTGGAGGTATTCAAGTGCTCTTTCCTTTATTTACACAACTTGACTATAAGCAACAATACAAAGATGAAGAAGGTGAAGTTGATTATACTATCTGGTAAGTACCTTAAATGATTTGAAATGTAACAGCTTCTGACAGACAATATATATAGAATAAACTGCGATATATTTATATAAAAAAAAAGTACCATAAAACTATTAATTCAATGCCTGGAATTTTTGTAATATCATTGGTAATGGCAGTTTGAACCAAACCAATTTTCTTCACTACTGAGCATGTTACTTACTACTGGATTCTGTCATAAATTCGCCCATCTGAAAAATCGCCCTAGGCGATTTCACGGCTGGTAGGTGTTTATTTGAGGTTCAAAATTTCAAAAAAAGATCATCAAATATTTTTTGAAAAATCCAAGTACGCCAACTTCAATGCCGGCAGTTGGGCCACCCAAAATGAAAGAAACTATTGCAGACGCTAATCTAAAATTTGATACATTTTTTTTTCACTGAATTAAAAAGTAGACTGCCTAAAGAATCATTACAATGTCACCCAGTGCCATTTTTCGTCAAAAAAATCACATTAATGAATCTGGTACGTCAAATACATTTATTTTATTTTATTGGTAACAAAAGTTTATTCTAAACGAAGTTTCAAATAAAAACGAACACAACTGCATTGCTTAGTAATAGTAGCAAACGATCACATGTTATTGAACACAATGTGGAAGAGATTTGCCGATGTTGTAGTATGATCTTTTGGCTTGGATTTTGATGGGAAAACGGCATGATTTATTTTTTCAAATCAAAAAATAGTTTTTTTCAAAAGATAAACTGAGCATTAAAGAATGTTTTAACATTGTTCACAGCAATAACAGCTCATTGTCGAAACGAAGCTTTACCCATTCATGCTAGTCACAATAAACATACTCTTGAATATATTTTAGGCGTCAGGAAAGATTGAAATGTCCGAAAAATGATGCCAAAATATTAGAAAAAACAACTTTAAAAACTGCCGTTTAACAGCCCAGGGCGAATTTATGGCAGAATCCGGTACACACATGTGAAATGCACTATAAGTGAAAACTAGAAACTAAAATAAATGTTTGTTTGTTTTAAATGTTTTAACAATATTAAAATTTATATTTCATCCCATGTTACTAAACACAATTTTGCAAACCTGTGAAAAAATGCAAATTACGAACTCCACAAAAATTGTCTACAGACCCAAATTTTTTTGTTTGTCTTTGGTACCCTGATGGCATGAACCAATAATAGTGAAAACATTTTGAAATTGACGTATAATCTTCAACTCAAACCTTGGTGTTCATGAATACTACATTTTCCAAAGCTAATGTGACTTCATGTCTTCACAAATTACAAGATTTTTACTGATACGCACTTCATAAAAATTTGTCTGGGAAAGTTTGAAGTGGCTTACACTATATCTGTGTTAGATTCAAGGCCCACCAAGTTGCCCCTGGTAGTGATAAAATTCCACCCCATTGTTCATATCAATGGTGTCACCCAACTGCACAGAGCCATAGGATTGTACCATTATGCAGTAATGATAGGGGTGTTTAATAGACTGATCCTTTGAGTGGCAAAGTCTATTTTTATCATTTTTCTCCAAAAATAAACCTACATATTTTCAGAAATGATGGTGAAGACATGTAACCAATGAATGTGCATTTGATTCAAAATCGGGTGTTAATATATAATTGTTTTGTTTATTTCAGTTCAACATTGTTAGCCCTTCTGTGTGATTTGATAGAGAGTTCTGTGACGACGCAGCAACAAATGATACAAGTTAAAGGATTCCTTATATCAGGGTATCTACTTCAAAAAGTGAGTTGACTTTCATCGTGAATATGAGTAATAACAGTGATTATTCGTGTAGCATCATTTGTATTTGGACACATACCTACATTTAATGTGTCTTAATTGCTTTATTAGAAGTACAATATATTGTATGCTAGATCATCAAAATATGACCTATTTTGACTGTAGAAAAACTGTCATTTACATTTAGCACAAACACTATATATGTTAAACCAGGTCACCTCCACCAATCATATTACAATGTATTGTACTTAATTTCAGGCCTCCACCAATCATATTACAATGTATTGTACTTAATTTCAGGCCCCCACCAATCATATTACAATGTATTGTACTTTATTTCAGGCCTCCACCAATCACATTACAATGTATTGTACTTTATTTCAGGCCTCCACCAATCATATAACAATGTATTGTACTTAATTTCAGGACTCCACCAATCATATTACAATGTATTGTACTTAATTTCAGGCCTCCACCAATCATATTACAATGCATTGTACTTAATTTCAGGCCTCCACCAATCATATTACAATGTATTGTACTTTATTTCAGGCCTCCACCAATCATATAACAATGTATTGTACTTTATTTCAGGCCTCCACCAATCATATTACAATGTATTGTACTTTATTTCAGGCCTCCACCAATCATATTACAATGTATTGTACTTTATTTCAGGCCTCCACCAATCATATTACAATGTATTGTACTTAATTTGGCCTCCACCAATCATATTACAATGTATTGTACTTTATTTCAGGCCTCCACCAATCATATTACAATGTATTGTACTTAATTTCAGGCCTCCACCAATCATATAACAGAAGCAGTATTAGAATCACTATTATCATTAGCTAAGTATCTCAATAGACTACCTACTGGTATTACGTTACTAAAGAATATGGTGGATCATATAATGTTTAACCCATCGCTATGGATACACACACCAGCAAGGGTAAATACAATATGAAACCATTCCTACCAGGAGTGTCTGACTTTTTAAATTTTCATTCTGAGATCATTTCTAAAGCTTTATTTGGGTCATGTGTTGGGAGAATATTTGTGCTATGAACTAAAGCAAGTCTTTGTGAATCTAGAAATATCAATATTATCAGCAAGTGAAGTTTGAACACACAATCAAATAGGAAGCCCTGATAAAACTCCATGTTTGATCTGACAGTGTTCCTGTAAAATTGATCAAATTTTTACATAGTTTGGTATATTTGTTTTGAACATTGGTCACATTGTCTGATCACAATATATCTCAATGTCAGTTGTCAGATACCAAAACTAATCATCTTATTCAATCATTGAAGAACTCCTCATCTTAACTTCACCATAGTGTACGTGATAACAGAAAATTGAACACTGTTTCAGGAGCATAAAAATGTCTTGTAGTCTTCTAGTTGTGAACAAAATCTCCACAGCCATAAGGTGATGATTTCAGCAACATAAAAAAACTGATAAAAAAAGAGGGGGGTTTTTAGGACTGTTCAGAGGGAAGTTTTCAGCCAATGAGCATGCACTTTACTTGAGTTGAAGTGAAGTAACATAATATTTAGATACTTAATGTGTTATCAATGTGACATTTATTACAGGTACAAATGGCCCTGTATACATACTTGGCTACTGAGTTTATAAGTCAGACTAATATATTCAGTAACATTAGAAGAGTTAGCACAGTATTGCAGTTGATGCATGCACTCAAATATTATTACTGGATTGTTAATCCCGAAGACCGATCTGGAATTTCTCCCAAAGGACTTGGTAAGTCAGCTGCAAATTGTTGCATTCATCTTTTTATAATTACTTCAAAGTTTGAAAAGATGGACTTTTGGTTTAGTCTCTCTGTGTCTGTACATCCATGCCTCTAGACCCATATCTACTTTACACATACGGTAGTTAGTACCCCATTTGAGACATAGGCACTTGTATTTATTTTGTGATTCGATCAAAGGAGTCATTTCTCAGACATGATATTGTGTTTTTTTTTAAAATATTCAAATGCCAGTTTATCAGTCAGAAATGTCCAAAGTGTCTGTGAAGAGCATGAATGGTCTTCGTAGCAGCCCTCTTGAACATCAGTTACATTTACTTTTGTTTTAATTTGATAATTATTTTACAATGCAGCGCCCTCATGTGGACAGATTTGTTATACACACCATAAGTATAAGCATGGGTGGCATTTACATTTATCTAGTTTTTACCTTGGAAGATGGAAGGGAAAGGTATATTAAGGGAAAAATTTTGTCCGGCGTTGTCGTTGTTGTCGTCGTCGTCGTTGTCGTCGTTAATAATTGTTATTGTGTGCATAATAACTTTACTAATTCTATTCCAAACTTCATCAAACTTGGTCACCTTATTCATCAGTATAATGTCTTCCCTGAGTTTGAACAACAGATGTCCTGTATGAAAATATCATGCAAAAATTGAGAAAATCTGATAAAATATTTTGACTGTTTCTACTTGACTGATCACTGGTGATACACATCAAAGGTCACTGATCTCAGTGGAAATATGCATTGTTGTATGTGTTCAATGAAGCAAATGATTTATCTTGTAATAATATCCTTGGTAATGTATACCAGAATCCCATACTTGGTTTCAAAACTAACTCATGGAGAGATTGCACAGTCTGATACACATTTGCAAACCTACCAATAAAATCTTTACAGAAAACAAGATGTCAGAAAATCAATATAAGCACTCCTATGAGCTGGGTGCCTAACTTTGATCAAGATCTGAAGCTAATAGAAAATCTGTTTAGTTCAAAGTTATCAAATCAAAAACAATACATAAAAAATACATAAAAAGCAAAACATTTCATCCACATTTTAAAAAGAAAATTGTTCTAAAATATATGTATTCTGTATTTGACAAGCAGTTCATTTGACAAATGAAAACTCGCAGGAATATGTTTCAGCTATTAGAACAGAATGATAGAGTTTTCATAATACTAGTTTAAAAACGCACTTCGAAGATTGCAGTGTTTGAAGATGTAGATTCTCAGGAGGCAACAGTACTGTTGACTTCTCCCTCCACTGGACACCAACGAACTATTTTAGTTGATTTGCATTCAAAGCAGAGCTTGCAACATGATAGCTATTCATAAAGGGTGTTTTATTTTTTTTACTTTTCATGTAATACAAAATACTTGGACAAAAGCCAGCTAAGATTTTCTGTTATCTTGCATGTTTTATGAATCTATTCACGTCTAAATACAGAACTTTTTTTTTGCGATGAGGCATTTTACTTTGAATTACTTTGAATAAAACTGGAAATTATGTCCCTTAAAATAATTAAACAAATAAGGCACCAATGTTTTTGTAAGATATTTACATCTTTTAAGGACATTCGGTAGACTGATTCCCCACTGTTGGTTCAACCCCAAACTTGTTTGTATTCAAAATTAATTATGACAATGCATATTTATATTGAAACAAACTGTGATAGAGGGAATTATATTATATAACAAAGGGCAAGGTCACCAGAGTTCAACTATGTTCTTCTTTGTCTGAACTTAATTGATGGTCAGTCTTGCTACATTCTGAAATTTTTGCCTGTATATTTTATTACTCCTGTAGATGGCATTAGACCAAGCCGTGATGAGTTGAAACAGCTGAGGGCGCTGTTGTTATTGATGGTCAAACAGTTAGTTCTGAAAGACAGAAATACTAATGATGAAGAGTTACAGAGTCTACTAAATTATCTTGTTACTGTACATGAGGTAAAAATTGACGTAATGGTTGTTGCATTCCACTCATAGTTCTACTAGGGTTTATCACAAGGAAGAGTTTTTCCAAAAACCCGGGTGTCTCAGGTGTCTGTGTCTGACCAGACCTGGTTGATTCTGCACATTAAATTGTCATAATGTCATTATGATAGAAAGATTATCTCATAACCCTGTCTCACACTTCCAAACATAGAATAGGGTCTCAGTGATAAAATTATATAAAAGTCAAGAGAAATCAGTGACATTTAATGTCTGAAAATGACACCAATCGTAGATATGAAAATGAAAATCTGTGATTCACCCATTGAAAATTGACATAAAACACAAATGTGTTTTCGTAATCACTCATTGGTCACTTTTATTTTGCATGTTTAATTTCTTATTAGGATGACAATCTGAAAGACGTGATGCAGTTAATGCTGTCTCTGATGGCTGAGCATGGTAATACAGTGGTACCCGCATTTGATAAGAAAAATGGAATCAGGTAATACTATGCACTGCTATTTAAATATTGTGTTAGTGAGGTCTCTTGTGTGGAGGAATTGAAAATGTATTCTGTGTACACTTTGTATACCATAATTTTCCCTTTATAATGTTTCTGCAACATTTTGATTTTTAGCTCCGCTGTCAACTTTGTCGAGCGGAGCTTATCATATGAGTGATTGTCTGTCGTCGTCCGTGTCAATGTTTTACTTTTTCGACTTCTTCTTGAAAACTACAAGCCTGAATGCTTTGATACTTGGTGTATATGTACCTTGGGTAGACCTCTCTTAGGTTTGTTAATTCCATGTTGATATCTTTAATTCTCTAATTTTGGTGAATATTTTCGTCATTTTTGGTAAAAAGTGATATTTTCGACTTCTTGTTAAAAACCGCAAGTGCAATTGCTTTGATATTACATATATAGGTACTACATGTGGACCTCTCTCAGAATTGTTCATTTTGTAATGATATCTTTAATTCTCTAATTTTGGTGAATAT